TGTCGCCGCGATGCTATTGCCAGGGGGGGGGGGCGATGGGATATGAGGTGGTGGCCGACAGCCCCGGCGACTGGCAATGTGATAGCTTGAGCTCGCGCCTCAACAGCTTGAGCCGCAACCGCTTGATCCTCGACAGATGCGCCTTGGAGTCTCGAGCAGAAGGCTCGTCCCGCCTGTGACTCCCGAGCTGAAGGCTCGTCCCTTCTGAAGCTGTGAGATGCGCCTTGGAGAACCGAGCTGAAGGCTCGTCCCGCCCGTGATTCCCCCGAGCTGAAGGCTCGTCCCGTCTGTGACTGTCAGCTTGGGGGGCGGGTGAGGGACGGGAGTCCGCGGGATTAAAGGGGTGCCCAGGGAGCTGATTGGCAGCCGTGCCGCCGTCAACGTCCATCTGCTTATTTATAGACTCCTGGGCTACAGGCTCATCCACTCTCGCTGCTTCGCACGGCGCTCCCCGGGCTGAAGGCCCGTCTCCTGTGTGTGCAACTGGGTCGCGCCCGGGGGGGGCGGCGGGCGGAAGGCGGGGGCCGTTTTGACGTAGGCTCAGGTCAGCTGGGGGGGTCGGTTGCGCGACCAGGACGGAGGCCTCCACGGTCAAGGGATCGACCCCCTCGCAGCTGAAGGCTGCTCCTTTCTGTCTTGACGCGTCCAAGGGAGGGTGGTCGGCGGAGTGTGGGCGTGAGCCAATGGGATGTGGATCGGGGACGTGGGCGGATTGCGTTCGGTCCACCCACCCATCATCACCGCTGCCACCACACTGGGCAGCCTCAAGCACAGGCCAACCACCCTCGTTGGACAAGCTCCTGAGCCGATCTTCGAGAATGCCGCCGTCACTCATGGCCGCAGTCTCTGCGGCGCTCTCGGCATCCATGGGCGTCGTCTCTGGTTCTCGAGCTGAAGGCTCGTCCCTTCTGAAGCTGTGAGATACGCCTTGGAGACTCGAGCTGAAGGCTCGTCCCGCCTGTGACTCCCGAGCTGAAGGCTCGTCCCGTCTGCGACTGTCAAGAATTTCCTCTTCCGGCCCCCTATCGTCGTCGTGGTCGTGCTCGTGCTCATGGTCGTGGTCGTGGTCGTCGTCGTGGTCCTGTTCGGTTTGTGGCTCTCCCAGGGGACTATTGCAGCTGAAGGCCGCGCGTTCCTGTGTGAACTCCTGACTCTCTATGCTGCCGGGAGGCTCGAGATATCCTCCGTCATCCGCTCGGGGAGGCGTCGTGGGCCCCCTTGATTCCCGACCTGAAGGCTCGTCCCGACTGAGGCTGTCAGCTAGGGGGGCGGATAAAGTACGGGAGTCAGCGGTATTAGAGGGGTGGCCAGGGAGCTGATTGTCAGCCGTGCCGCCGTCGACGTCCATTTGTCCATTTAAATACTCCCGGGCTACATCCTCGTCCACTCTTGCTGCTTCGCGCGGCGCTCCCCGGGCTGAAGGCCCGCCTTCTGAGTGTGCAATATTGTCGTGCCCGAGGGGGGCGGCGGGCGGAAGGCGGGAGCCGTTTGGACGTCGGCTCAAGTCAGCTGGAGGGGTCGGTTGCGCGACCAGGACGGAGGCCTCCGCAGTCAAGGGATCGATCCCCTCGCAGCTGAAGGCTGCCCCTCTCTGTCTTGACGCGTCCAAGGGAGGGTGGTCGGCGGAGTGTGGGCGTGAGCCAATGGGATGTGGATCGGGGGCGTGGGCGGACAGCGGTCGGTCCACCCGCCCATCATCACCGCCGCCGCCCCACTGGGCAGCCTCAAGCACAGGCCATCCACCCTCGTTGGACAAGCTCCTGAGCCGATCTTCGAGAATGCCGCCGCCACTCGTGGCCACAGTCTCTGCGGCGCTCTCGGCATCCATGGGCGTCGTCTCTGGTTCTCGAGCTGAAGGCTCGTCCCTTCTGTAACTGTCAGATACGCCTTGGGGGCTCGAGCTGAAGGCCCGTCCCGCCTGTGACTCCCGAGCTGAAGGCTCGTCCCGTCTGTGGCTGTCAGCTTGGGGGGCGGATGATAGACGGGAGTCATCGGGATTACAGGGATGACCAGGGAGCTGATTGGCAGCCGTGCCGCCGTCAACGTCCATCTGTCCATTTAAAGAATCCCGAACTACAGGCTCGTCCACTCCTGCTGTCTCGCGCGGCGCTCCCCGAGCGGAAGGCCCGTCTCTGTCGGGGGGAGGCTGGTCTCCGACCGCGGGCGCCCCCTCGGCAGCCCTCCCACCTGTCGCCGCGATGCTGTTGCCAGGGGGGGAGCAATGGGATATGAGGTGGTGGCCGACAGCCCCGGCGACTGGCAATGTGATAGCTTGAGCTCGTGCCACGCGCTGATAGGAATGAGGAGCTGTGGGGGCGCCTGTCTGCTTGTCTCTTACAGAAGGAACACCTTGCCAGGGGCGCTCAGGCCCCTCGGAAGCCTCGAAACGTAACTTGGGCCCCTGGCGGCCGTTCGGGACGATCTGGGCAGCTCCGGACAGTCCTCGGCGAGGCGCCGCTGCTGGAACGCATCCGAGGCTGAAGACCTGCCCGGCTCGGACAGGCTCGTCCACTCTTGCTGCTTCGCGCGGCGCTCCCCGGGCTGAAGGCCCGCCTTCTGAGTGTGCAATATTGTCGCGCCCGAGGGAGGCGGCGGGCGGAAGGCGGGGGCCGTTTGGACGTCGGCTCAAGTCAGCTGGAGGGGTCGGTTGCGCGACCAGGACGGAGGCCTCCACAGTCAAAGGATCGACCCCCTCGCAGCTGAAGGCTGCTCCTCTCTGTCTTGACGCGTCCAAGGGAGGGTGGTCGGCGGAGTGCGGGCGTGAGCCAATGGGGTGTGAATCGGGGGCGTGGGCGGACGGCGGTCGGTCCGCCCATCCATCATCACCGCCGCCACCCCGCTGGGCAGCCTCAAGCACAGGCCATTCATCCTCGCTGGACAAGCTCCTGAGCCGATCTTCGAGTATGCCGCCGCCACTCATGGCCACAGTCTCTGCGGCGCTCTCGGCATCCATGGGCATCGTCTCTGGTTCTCGAGCTGAAGGCTCGTCCCTTCTGTAGCTGTCGGATGCGCCTTTGAGACTCGAGCTGAGGGCTCGTCCCGCCTGTGACTCCCGAGCTGAAGGCTCGTCCCGTCTGTGGCTGTCAGCTTGGGGGGCGGATGAAAGACGGGAGTCATCGGGATTGCAGGGGTGACCAGGGAGCTGATTGGCAGCCGTGCCGCCGTCAACTTCCATCTGTCCATTTAAAGAATCCCGAGCTGCAGGCTCGTCCACTCCTGCTGTCTCGCACGGCGCTCCCCGGGCTGAAGGCCCGTCTTTGTCGGGAGGAGGCTGGTCTCCGACCGCGGGCGCTCCCTCAGCAGCCCTCCCACCTGTCGCCGCGATGCTGTTGCCAGGGGGGGGAGCAATGGGATATGAGGTGGTGGCCGACAGCCCCGGCGACCGGCAATGTGATAGGTTGAGCTCGTGCCACAAGCTGATAGGAATGAGGAGCTGTAGGAACGCCTGTCTGCCTGTCTCTGACAGAAGTGGGATATTCCGCGGCTTCCAGAGGGGGGCTTCGCTGCTGCTGCAGCTGCGGGGTGCTGTTGCCGCTGCTGCTGCTGCTACTGCCGCTGTTGCTGCTGCTGCTGCCGCTGCTGCAGTGGCTGTTGCTGCTGCTGCTGCTGCTGCTGCTGCTGCTGCTGCTGCTGCTGCCCTGCTGCTGCGGCTGCTGCTGCTGCCCTGCTGCAGCGGCTGCTGCGGCTGCTGCTGCCCTGCTGCTGCTGCTGCTGCTGCTGCTGCTGCTGCTGCTGCTGCTGCTGCTCCCCTGCTGCTGCGGCTGCTCGCCAGGGGCCGCGGCGGTGGCCGCCGCGCCAGCGGCCGCGGCGGTCGCGGCGGCGCCAGCCGCGGCGCCGCCAGGGCTGGCCGGGGGGCTGCCTGTGGGGCTGGCCGTGGGGTTGGCAGTGGGGCTGGCAGCGGGGCTGGTCGCGCCGCCGCCGGCCGCCGGCCGCCGCCGCCGGCGGGGGGGCCGGCAGCGGCGGCGGCAGCGGCAGCAGCGGCGGCCGCCGCGAAGGCAGCCGCGGCGCCGGCCCGCGGCGCCGCCGGCCGCCGCCGCCGCCGGGGGGAGGCCCGGCGGCGGCAGCGGGGCCGGCCGCGGCGGCGGCAGCGGCGGCGGCCGAGGCGCAGGTGGCCGCCGGGGCGGCCGAGGCGCCCGGCGGCGGCAGAAGCGGCGGCAGCAGCGGCCGCCGCGAAGGCAGCCGCAACGCCGGCCACGGCGCCGCCGGCCGCCGCCGCCGCGCCGGGAGAGCCAGAGGCCGGCAGCGCGGCGGCGGCGGGCCGCGGCGGCGGCGGCGGCAGTGGCGGCAGGGCGCCGCCAGCAGCCTCCAGCCGCCTAGGCGCCAGCCCCCAGGGGGGTGGGCAGCGGCGGCGGCGGCGAGGCTCGCCGCCGGCCGCCGCGCCACCGCCAGCCGCCGCCGCCCCCGCGCGCCGGCCTCCCGGGTGGAGGCAGCGGCGGCGGCGGCGGCGGGAGCGGCCGCGGCCGCAGCAGGCGGCAGCCCGGCGCGCGCGGCGGCGGCCAGGCGCTGCCGCCGCCGCAGGGCGGCCCCCGAGGGGGGCGAGGCCATCGCGAGGCCGGCCTGGCGCGAACCTGTCCATGGGCGGGCTTGAGCCAGGGGGGCTACGGACTGGTGGGGATCCGCGAAGCGTCAAGAATTATGCCTGCTGGTCCTCCAGGGGCCTCCCCTCCCTGAGGTCCCCAGGGGCTGCCAGAGGTGCCGTGGGAGGCCTCCGGAGGCCCAGCACGGGGCAGAGCAACCGCCCGAGTGCCTCGAGCGTCTTGACGTTTCGATCCTTGATCCTCGATCGTCCTCGATCCTTGAGCCTCCTCGATCCTCGACACTCCTCGAACCTCGGATGTCGATCCTCGATCCTCCTCCAACCTCGATCCTCGATCCTCGATCTTCTTCGGTTTTCGAACCTCGATCCTCGATCTTCCTCGATCCTCGACCCCCGAACCTCCATCCTCGGCCTCGCGCTGCCTCCCCAGCCTTCCCGGCGCGTGGCGAGCCTGCGCGCGCAGGAGCTCGCGGCGCAGGGGCACGTGCAGCAGATGGCTGGCTACCAGCTGGCGCAGGTGCAGCGCGCCCTCAGGCCTCCGAGGGGAGAAGGCGACCTTAGGAAGGTTTCGGGTTCGAGCTTCGAGGCTTCCGGGCGTTTCTGTAGCTGCTCAGCGGGTTTCCAGCCCCGGGATGCCTTCGGCAGCTGCGCCTCGCCGAAAGGGCTTCGGGGGTGCCCAGATCGCCCCGATCGGCCGCCAGAGAGCCGAGTGCTGTCCCGAAGACCATGGGGCACCACCAGGCTGGAGCTGGTCGGGGGGTTGAGAGGCCCATCGCTGGTACCGGCAAGCAGAGGGGGGAGAATGGGGCCCCCTCGTCGCCACACGGCTGGGCGCGGCTCGGAAAAGTGGCCTGTGTCGGCCCTGGGAGGAGTCTGGGCACCGATTTGGAGCGGATTTGCCCCCGCCCCTCCTCCTCCTCCTCCTCCTCCTCCTCCTCCTCCTCCTCCTCCTCCTCCTCCTCCTCCTCCTCCTCCTCCTCCTCCTCCTCCTCCCCTTTCTTGACCGTTTTTCCCATGGCCCATCCAGCGCAGACGCCCCCGGCCGCTTCAACTGCCAGGTGTGCCACCCCTACCGAGGAGCAGGAACAGGAGCAGGAGCAGGAGGAGGAGGAGGAGGAGGAGGAGGAGGAGGAGGAGGGAGGAGGGAGGAGGAGGAGGAGGAGGAGGCGGAGGAGGAGGGGCAGGAGGAGGAGGAGGAGGAGGAGGAGGAGGAGGAGGAGGAGAGGAGGAGGAGCGGAGGAGGAGGAGGAGGAGGAGGAGGATGAGGAGGAGGAGGAGGAGGGGAGGAGGAGGAGGGGAGAAGGAGGAGGAGGAGGAGGAGGAGGAGGAGGAGGAGGAGGAGGAGGAGGAGGAGGAGGAGGAGGAGGAGGAGAGGAGAGGAGGAGGAGGAAGGAGAGGAGGAGGAGGAGGAGGAGGAGGAGGAGGAGGAGGAGGAGGAGGAGGAGGAGGAGGTAGGAGGAGGAGGAGGAGGAGGGGGAGGAGGAGGAGGAGGAGGAGAGGCGTCTTGGCTTCAGGGCAGCCCGCGGGACATAGGGCAGCCCATCGGCCAGGGACCCCAGCGTGGCCGCGCGGCCGCCATAGCGAGACCACGCCTCGCTCGGCTGCCGCTGGAGCCCGCGCTCGATCGAGCCGCTCGCGGAGCCGCGAGCGGGAGCCAGCCTGGCACAGGCATCTGTGCCGTCGGCGCGGAGAAGCCAGATCACTACTACGGGTGGCAGCAGCAGCCAGGCTGCTGCAGGAACACCATTCATCACGGCGCCCTTCAGGCAACACCCAGATGGAAGCAGGCGGCTGGACTTGCAAGTGTGGCATAAAGTGTGCACCGTGGTCCTGGTCATGCTCGGCATGCGGCGAATCCTGGGATCAGCGAAAGCGTGGCAGATCACAGCCCAGGACAGTGCAAGGCAGGCCGCAGTCAAGGCCGCGCTCAAAGGCACGTCCGCCTGTCAAAGAGCAATATGGCCAGGAGCGACAAGTCAATCAGCTCATCGGCAGAATACCGCCAGCATTGCACAGTCAAGCAGTGGCGCATCCCCTCTGGCAGGAATGGCAGCCGCCACCAGACCACACGGGCATCAAGGCCTACAAGGACAAGCTGAGGACAAAGCTCGAGGCGCTGGGCAGTATCTGCTTGGCTACGCAGAGCGCCGGCAAGAGCGACCAGGAGACAAAAGAAGAAATGGCGGTCCTCAAGCACTGCGCCAACCTGCTCAAGCCGCGCAGCCAGCAGCTGAACGAGGCAGTCCAGCGCATCAACAACGTGGAGATAGCGCTCAAAGGCACCAGGGATCGCCTGGCACTCCTGGAGACACAGGAGATGGAGCAGATCGAGCAGCTGGACGAGCTAAAAGAAGCCCTATCGGAGATCGACGATCGCATCCACCAAGAGGTGATCGACCTGCAGCCCGCGGTGCAGACGGGCGACAACGGTGCTACAATGCAAGTCGACAACACGGGCCAGGTTCAGCAGATGTACGTGCAGCAGCAGCAGATGCAGGACACCATCTTTCAGCTCCAGAGGGTCATCCAGGCCAACGGCATTTCGCTTGGGCCGCAATTTCAGCCCAGCGCAGCAGGGCCGCACCCAACCCCGTGGCCCACAGATGCCACGGGGGCAGCGGCCTTGGCGCAGGCAGCAGCGGGAGCGGCAGCGACAATGCCGCAGCAGGCACATGTGCAGCAGCAGGCGCAGCAAGCTTTCATCATGCACAGGCAGATGGCCTACGAGCACGAGCAACGCATGCAAAGGGAGCACTACGCCGCCAATTTGAGAGCCGCCATGAATCTTGCGGCGGATGGGCAGCCCGCTGCGGGACAGCATTCAGCGGTGCAGCCTGCAGCGCCGATTCAGCCACAGCCAGCCAGCCCAATACTGGTGCAAGCCTCAGCAAGTGCGCCAATGAGAGGAGCGACGCCTTTCATTACACCAGAGGCAGAGGCAGCAGCAGCAGCGTCGGCAGCCGCGCTAGTGGCGAGAGAAGCGGCAGAGGCACCAACGCTGCTGTCATCGCAGACCCAGCAGCCACCGCCGCCGCCGAAGGGGGGGCCCCTTTTCTTTCAAGGGTACCCATCGCCCACGCAGATGTGGGCAATGCCAGAGACGCCAGTCCTCAGCAGCCAGCAGGCACAAGCGCTGATGCCAACCCAACCTTGCTCCCCAGGGCAAGAGGCTTCCCCTTGCACAGGGCCTCCAATCAGCCTGCTACCAGGAGCGCGCATCCAAGGGCACGGAGCAACTACAATGGCAGCTTTCTCAGCCAAGGGGGCAATCAAGGGCGATGCAACAGCCGCAGCGGCAGAGAAGAGGTTGGCAGAGGGCGACCCAAATCCAGCTGCACACAAAACGCTGGCAGTGGAAGAACCTCAGGCCGCTGCCATGGAGGGCGCGTGCTCTCCAACAGTCATTGCTCCGACACAGAAGGCGTGAACTCGACCCTCAGAGGCTTAGTTGAAAACGCATCCTGCCAGCAGTTGGCAGGGGAGCTCAGGGCAAGTGCCATTTCATGGGCAGCGGGGGCGGCCTGGAGCAGCAAGGATATTGCGAGGGCAGATTGGCTACTATGGGGCACACCTTACGTGTGCGCGGCCATTATCAGTCAACCAGGGCTCAGGGACTCGGTCTTGGATGACGAAGGCTACGTCGGCACGCACAGGACACTACTGTTGGCGAAGGCCATCTGCAATGTAGCTTGGGATGAAAGCGACAGCAGAAGGACAGCTGAAGTTCGAGCATTAAAAAAATATGAAAGAACTCGACCAGCAGCAATGGCAGCAGTGCATCCTCCAGGGCTTCGATGCACTCAGGTGGCAGAGACATCAACTGGATCTATCTGCGGGGGGGGCAAGGTCATCTCCGCAGCTGCTACCGCATCAATCTGGACAGGCCCCCGATGCACTTGCTACCACATCAAGTCGATGCTCAATTATATCGGGAGCTCGAGGATCAGGGCATGGTATGCCGCCAGGGCACGCCGGTCATCATATGGCAAAAGGCTTTCATAAGCCCCATCAAGAGCGCTCACTTGCAGCAGCTCGCTCAGGATGAGTACGAGACAAAGTGTGATTCAACAGGGCAAGTCAGTCTCATGTACAAAGAGCACCACATCTACGAGGACGTGGACGGATACCGCCCTCAGGACACGCGCTACATTAACAACAGTAACTACTGCGTCATGGCGTACCTCAGCTCACAGCAGCGGCAACGAGAGCCTCAACAACGTGAAGGGCACGCTGAGGCACGGTGCGCAGTATGCAGGGGTGCAGTGGAGGAAGCACAGGCTATGATGGCCATATGGATGCTTACAAATCAGCTTGAGGATGAAATTGGCCATTGGGCGACAGAAGCTGCAGTTTGGCCACCGCCAGAGGCCCAGGCTGACTGGAACATGTGGTGTTTACCCCTGGTCGATATGATGTTGAGACAAGATCCAAGCCTGCAAAGGCTATGGACCACAGATCATGAAAGACGTATCATGACCAAAGATATCTGCGATAGAGTTTGGTACTCAGGGCACCAAGCCAGGCAGGAGTTTCTTCGGCAGTATCGCCAGCTCTTCGACGACGATTACAATGGCTACATATGGTACATCGGAGACAACAAGAGCTACGACAAGCACGGCTGCGCCTAGCGGGGATGCAAAGCATTCAGATCAGCAGTGACCAAAACGTTGATACTTACATCACCAGGCTTGATGTCCTTACGTATAGGAGAATATTCACTACCTCATTGCTTCAAATAGGAGACAGGCCCGCGCCGATGCTAGAAATGGACCATCCACCCGAAAGCGAGGTGGGCAATCCACTACTACCAGAAATAACGGCAATTGGCGCAAACCCTGACGTGGAGATACCGCTATTTGGGGAAGAGGTCAGTGACGAAGGCGGCGACATCGGAAGCTCGGATGACAATGACAATGTGGTGCTCATGCAGTCTGAGGCTACCATAAACATATGCAACGAGCATATACAGTATGCCTCGAGCTACTACGTCAACAGGCTAAAGAAGTACCTCCGCATCAGAGTAAGAACATGGATCAACACGGACAAGTTGCAGCAATATTGGATAAAGTGGAGCGTCCCACACCTCATGGCCGACATGTACGTCTTCCCTGTTTACAGCCAGATAGCCAGTACGCATGGTGACATGAGGAAAATGGCCATGGACATGTGCGGAGAAGCTTGGAAAAAAGGGCAAGGTGGCAAGGGGAAGAACACCCAGAACTACGATGAATGTTCCTTCAAGGACGCCGACGAGGAGCAGTACTGCACAATGAAAGAGTGCCAGGCCCAGGTCAGCTGGACAGCCCCTTTTGCACCTGAGCCAGAACAGCCACGGCACGAACAAGTCGAGGCCAAGCGAGCAGAACTTCGCTATAAGTTATCCACCGCGGCACGGGCATGGAGCTTTGAGCAAGCTATGTGGGGTTCGAAGGTGGCATGCACCGACTGGCTCTATTGGTGTATACCTGCCATCACAAGCGATCTACTACACATGCCAGAGTACAGCCGCAACCCTCAGGAGGATCTGGCTGAAATG